TGTATGAAAGATGGTCTGAAGCAAATCCAAAGGGATCACCAAAATGGCTGTGTGAGCAACACAAGCAAAGTCGTCTACACAACAACAGGAAGTTCAAATCCAAAATGGTTGTGTGGGGCTCAGTGCCCATAACTCAGTGGCTAGGGCACCAGCCACATACACTGGAGATGATGGGTTTGAATCCAGCCTGGGCCAGCTAAACAACAATGACAACTACAACCAAAAAATATCTGGGCGTTGTGGCAGGTGCCTGTAGTCCCAGCTACTTGGGAGGCTGAGGCAAGAGAATCGCTTAAACTCAAGAGTTTGAGGTTGCTGTGAGTTATGATGCCAAACACTCTACTAAGGGTTTTTGAGACTCTGTCTCAAAAAAAAAAAAAAAAAAAAAAGGCTGTATGAATGACATGAGCAAAGTCATCTACACAATGGCAAGTTCACATGTTGTAAGGCTAGACTGCCTTACAGTTGTTATGTTGATGTTTCTAGGAAATGAAGGAATTCCATATTAAACTTGTAGCATAATGAATTTCTGTACTCGTGGTGGACACACTCCTGCTCCTGCCTAACTTCTTTCCAACAAGAGCGCCTTTTCCACTCACTGCTCCTCAGTGGTGAGACCACAAGTGGGATGGTTCACTGCAGAGTAGGGAGTATACCTGCCCCTGCCTACCTGGTCACCCTCCAGATGTCCCGAAGGGTGCTGCCTCCCAGTCAGGACAGACTACATAACTCCCACACTAGCCCTCCAGGCCCAGCTGAGGCTGACTTTTTGCCACTCTGCACACACCACTCACCCATTCTGAAGGGTTTCCCTTCGCCTAGAACCTAGGCCACGGCTGAATTCTCATGAATATGTACACATGGGCTAGCTGGCTAGCTACCCACTTAAAAGTCATCATGCTGTCATCTCAGATGAAATCCCATAATTCTTGCCAAAAGTCTTTCAGACTAGAGTCTTCACTTTGGGTGACCACTTCCTGAACCAGGGCCATTTTTATGTCATTTTTTTCTATATCTTTAAATTCAGTGATTTTTCTTTGAGAATTATAATTACTCTTAAGCTTTTTCATATCCTTTAGGGACAGTCCAACTTAGATTGCTCCTAGGCACCATATCCCACAACACCGAGCACAGCCAACAGAGCAGCCCAGCCACACTGTCCAGCGCCCTGCAGTGCCACAAAAACCAACCCAGCGCTCTGCCACTTCTGGGTTTACTGTCCCCACATGCATAATGCAGTCTAGAGGACCACTCTTCATGCCAAAGCAAAATTTATACTTGTGGATAAAAACAGAATGATGGCGATTTTATTATTTTTATTGTTAGAACCATTACTGTCACAACGCGAACCACAGAGTCCTTGCCAGGCATAGGCGCCCTAAGCGTGTTACATGCGTTACATCACTTAATGGTTTAGAAAAGAAGTATTAGTCAGGAAGTTTCACTAAAGGTAAAACACAGCTGAAGCATGTGCTGGGAATGAGCCGCTGGCTGCCCACGTGGCCCTGTGACTGGCATGCATTCTGCATCTACGGCTACAAGGCAAGTGCAGCCTCCTCCTCTCCATGCAAACATGCGGACGCCTGGGGCATGGCACCAGGCTGCTCACCCAAGATTAAGACACTGAAACATGAGGGCTCATGTTCTAGAAAAGCAACTAATGAAGTGGCTGGTATAAACAATCTGGTTATAGAATCCTTAGATATATATATCCGTTCTTCAATCAAAAGAATTAAATGGTTCACAATGATACTGTAAATGGTATTTTTTCCTAAAAATTTACTACATCTAGTGTCATAGTAAAACTGTTTAGTAAAAAAGGACAGAATCAAAACTCTTCCTGCCTTTTACACTGGAAATTAGTATCTACAGTCTTGAATACATTTCATTGGAATGAGAATAGTTAACAGAGACCCTTTAATGTGTTGTCTGTTCTTTGTTTTTAAAGGTACAGATGCTGACACTTTCCAATAAAAATTCAGTAGGTTATGAACCAAAGGAGAAAACTATCTCTAATAGGACCACCCCTTCTGTGCAGTGTCACTGCTGCAGCTCTGGACAGCCCTTGATTGAAGGGGCTGCTTTTCAACTGAAATCTACATTGACCATTGGAATATGAATGTGTTTCTATTATGAGATGAATGTGATTGAGTAAATGGCCTTGATTAGGTATCTTACCTTGGTCTTAAAATTTGTTATCTGTTTTCTTCATTGTATGTGTTTATTAATACCAGTAAAAACAGATTATCACACATCTTCCATATAATGATTGTGATAGAAATGTCACTTAGTGTGTACGATGATACACCACCTGCAGCAGGCATCTTGGAATATTACATCATTTTAAGTGCAGTACAGGGCAGCTGAGTTCAAATCCAACTTGACTGATGTGGGCTCCCATAAAAGCTGTTACCAGTGAAGGCGAAAAAAATAAGAATTTGCTCTACTAAGGGAATAAGAAATGAAGTTACAAAACACTTAAATCACATTAATTCCTTCACAGGCCTTTGTCATGCAAGTGTGCAATTTCTCTTCATTGGTGTGAGGTAGCACCATGTAATAATTAATCTAATATAAATTTTATTTATCATATATACCTTTTTCAAGAGGAATTTAAACCACAACATGACCTAAAATGTCTCAAAATACCAATCTTATGAAAATATCTTATTTCAATCAAGTGTGATGAAAGGAAATATAAACATGCAAAAGGTATGTGACCCAAATAGGGGATCAGTCAAACCCCCCAAAAGCAATTCCCATGGTCATTTAACATCATGTCAGAACCAGGCCCAGCAGTGTTTTGTTTTGTTTTTTAAGTAACACTACACTTTGCCTCGTGAGCTAACAGGCATTCAGCATTATACACAATGCAAACATTTATTACAGCTCAGTAGTGTTAATACATAACAGATAAGCCTACCTGTTTGCCTAAAGTTGTTTTAATTAACAGTATAATTCTGTAAAAATGAACTTTAATGTAAAATTTATATAAGCCATACAAAAGTAGCTTAATGGAAATGTCTCATAATTTGGTGTTGTTCTAAGGAACATAATGCATACTATGGGATCTGTGCCTTACCTTCAAAATGTAAAAGGTATACAAATTTAATGTATTTAATGTTTGATATAAGTGTATTTAATTAATCTATACCCCAAAGAATTTATAATCAATTAAGTCTAATGATTATAAAATACTTCGTCTAAGTTTCCCCATGCTCAGAACTGTTTAGGCCAGAAAGGTCAAACAGCCGCCTCACAGGCGCAGCCCTGAGAGCTCAGCCTCACCCTGCGTGTCAGCCTGTGCTACTCTAAACCAGAGCATTTGATAAACAGAATGTATGACCAGGAACCACCGATGGGATCTCAGTAGTCTCAGTGCTCTTCCTTTTGTACCTACAACAGTGTAAGTAAAAAATCACCGAGATAAGTGAACCAAAATATGATGCAAAACAAACAAAGAAAATAAAAAAACCTCATTAAAAATGTTTTAAACAAAAATGCCAACTTAAATCAAAGGGTCTAGGAATGAAAACTTCTTATTTTTAATATTCTCTTTTTCAGAATTGTAGACTACCTTTTGTTTAATTTCCTAGGATAATAACCTGAACTTGGACAAGAAGTAAAGAAAAATAATTTGCATAAATTTTGCCTTTTCATGTTTCAGTAAGCTCTAGAAGTTCAGTAAGGAATTCTTACTGCATGTTCTCAAATCTGCCCAAATAGAAGAAATGCTTAGTTATCTACACATATCAAACTATAGGCAAGCCCCAGTCCCACATACGTGAGCAGCTCCTGACACTACTGAGTTTGTCTGAGCCACTAAAGAAATGTCCACTTAGAGGAGTTGTTTCTGTTTGCACCAACACTGAGGGTTCACAGCGGCGAGGGGAAGCACTGGGCACCTTCACACCTAAGAGGCCTACATGTCCCCTAATGGGGGAGTCAGCTGAAGCATATCCCACCCCTCCCTGGGGACCATGCAGAGCCCAGGTCTGAAGTGCTGCCCCCTTTGACCCAGCAAAACTAAAGGGCCTATCCAACCTCTGCCTGACTACCTTGCTCCAAAAAGGCCCATTTCTTCATAAATATTATAAAAACAGGACTCATGTCCACAATGAGAAAAACAGAATCACAGGGAACAAAGTAACAAGAAATTAAAACTTCAAAGCAAACTCCATGAAGATCAGGAAACTAAAACTACCTCTGGACAAAAAAGTGGTCAATTGTAGATTCTGTGGCTGTTTTTTGTTTTGTTTTGCAATGGCAAAGACTCTAGATCTGATAATAAAAATCTAGATGCCATTTTACAATGATAGCAGGTAACTGCCACAAATAGCTATTATTTTGCTATCATACATTTCGCAAGTCCAGAAAAGAGGAGTCATATCATATTACAATGGTAGTTCTGACTCACCTCAACACTCAAGTAACTGAGAATATACCAGAATTTAAAGGACCAAAGACATGGACCCAAAGCTGTGGAACACATGAGGACAAAGAAATCTCTGGCTTCCACCACAATCCTCGGTCTAGAAGCCACAGGAGTTAGGTGTGGCATGTAAGCTGCCCTTCACCCCACCATCTGAATGCACAATTACCAGTGTCAGCTCAAATGACACAGTGTGTCCTGGTAGAACCAACACGCATTTAACTTTCATGTGAAAACTTCGTGTGAGGACTATATAAAACACATTTTAAAGACAGATTTCAAGAACAATTAACTGCATCAAGACTGAAGTATACAGGAACATGTACACATACACTATGTGTATTTATATTTAAAGTGCTCAAATAGACTCAAATAATGTACTATATTTTTCCATTTCATGAATTTTAGATAGTTAAGAGGACCTATAACTCACCTATGTTTATGGAAAACACCAATGTTATGCTTATTAAGTCTGACCCTTTACTCACATTGCAACTTTGTAGCTAAGTAGCTGGCCTTCGTATGAATACCATGGTTACCATCATGATTATCATCATTATTATTTTACCTCATTCTCAGTTAAGGATGCAGAAGGAGATGAACTTTTGCTAAACCCAAGAGCTGAAGACGCTGTCGCAGAAGCCCGATTTCGCTTCTTCAGTGGTTTACATGCATCAGACAGATTTTTCGTTGCTGTAAAATAATTTTGGTTTATAAAGTTTTACATCTTAAACCCTCAATGTCTTTACTGCTTTAAAATTATCCCTCAAGGCTCGGCGCCTGTGGCTCAAGCGGCTAAGGC